CACAGGGGAGAGCTTCAGCCCAAAATCGCTTGGACAGAAAGCAGGATAGAAATCCGTTGGAGCTGAAGCAGAAAAGCCTTTGCTCTGAGGCCCCGCACCGGGGGCATCGATGCAGTGGAAGGCCTGCTACTGCTCGGCTTTTGGATTAAAGTAAGGACTATATCGGTGTCCCTTTATATTCTATTACACCACTATTACCGGGGGGCGGTCTGGCGGTCCTCCTAAAATACAGTAACTGAAATCGCCTAAGGCCTACGGCGAACATCAACGGTCAGAGCCTTGGACATCTGAGCACATGTGCCATCTGGGTACCTTGACTTGCTGCGAAATCCGATGGAAGTAGTGAAGCAGAGCCTTTGCGCATCTCAGCGCAGAACCTGCAAACTGCGGGGTCTGGGATGTCCGGAAGTTTGCAGGACCATCCTGCAACGCTGCTCTTGCTTACTGGTTCCTAGTAGGGAATATGGGAATATAATGGAATCTATATATATATATTTTTATATCATATTGTAGGGATTGCATATTATGGGGATTCTATTCCCTTGTTCCCCAGTAACAACCAGTAAGGCTTTTGGAGGCCGACGGAGCTCGTAGCTCCCAGATGCTACAGATAGCAGCACCAATTGTGGATGTCAAAATTTCTGCTGATTCTGCAGAAGAACACGGTTTTGGGGCCCGAGTAAAATAATGTGAATGGTATTTGGCAGGTTAGAGGGAGAAAGTTGTCCAAGGCCGCATGCAGCTTCTTTGCATGGTATTTGGGACCCAAAAGCCTACTACTTTGGGTCCTTGCAAACACAACTTATGACTGGCATTACGCAGCGTCTTAGCTACAGTTTTGGGAGGCTGCCGTATTCCAGGCTGGGGATTTGCAAGGGTTCAGAAATAGTGGATTTCTGAACTACAGCTGCAGATTCCTGCTACATGCATCTGGAACATTCTGGAACCACCTCAAGCAATACATGTCAGCACCTCACGAGACACTGGCGCCGAAAGGCGTCCACGAGTCTGCGGAGATCTGAGCCAAAGAGTCTGTAGACGTCTGTAGTCAAGTCTAAACCCTAAACCCTTCAGAGGCTCGGCTTGTCTCCATGAAATGCAGCAGAAGTCGGCAGCAATCCCAGCTCAATCTACGCAATCCCTCTCTGAGCGCTACATGTTCACCTTCCTTACTGTAAGGACTCGCTGAGCAGGCCTCTGTCGGCTTGGCATTCGCGTCCTTGCTTGGAAATCTTGCGCTACTGAGGTGGTGCAAGGATTCTGTCATCAATAGCCTTGCCCTCCTCCTGACTTTGGAAAGTCCCAAAGTAGACTCCTCTCAGAGGCTTCTAGCTGCTAAGTACAGCTGCCGTGAAACGAGCTTAGGGCTTAAGATCCTTATGTTGAAGTGCCCTGAAACTGGACCCCAGGACTTCCCATAGTTCCTCGTCATGGCATCCGCAGCTGGGCGCAGAGAATCGATGTTCTTCAGCTTTGCCTCGTCCTCTGAATGGCTCAACCGCAATAGGTATGAGAGGACTGTACTTTTATCTGCCCCCACTTCTAAATTAGTGTTCTTCTGGGCCTGCCTTGGCTAGTTTGCGGGCGTGGTCAAATTGAACTAGACTGGTTATTCAGCGAATACCGCAGGCCAATGCAGCAAACAGCTCTGGGCTCAGAAGCTGCCACTAGGTGGCGTCAGAAACCGATGCTGCGAATCCAACATGAGAGTAGATCTGTGACATGCATGCTGTTGCCGATGTCCTCGCTGCAGTCGCTGGAGCCTCCACAGCAAGTCGTTGAGCTTGCAAAATCCAGTGTTTCCGCTTGATGCCACCAATTTCAGTTGGCCACGAGGAATGACTGGTCACAGGCACAAGATGACAGCCTATGCCGGCACTCCCTACAGCAAGCTCCCCGCCCGAGGAATCGGACGCGATCTCCGCCCTTGCAAGCACACACCCACACACCACACAACGATCACCCAAAGTTTAGAAACGGTTTCTTTTGTCAGCATAAAAGGAGTCTTTGGAACATGTCGGGCTTGAATGCCCTCTCGGGGCCTAGCAGGGGGTCTTCCCGATGCTTTTCCAACATGCAGGTCCGCAGTCTGCTGAACCAAGCTAAGGCGAGGACAAACTGCCCTGACCTGCAGTGCTCGCAAAGGCCCGTGCAGGCATGCTGGCCAAGAACTACGTAGCACTTGGCGAAAGGGATGCGCTGGATGGATACGCAGGTCACATTTTGTATGCCTGTGCCTCCTCTTTGCGTCGCCTTTTCTAAATCCAGACCCTACACGCCCTCAAGGCATGTTGCTTCTACACAGCCGTGTTTCCTAGATTACTAAGTTGAGGCTTGACAAGTTCCCTGCGATTCTGTCAGCGCAAGTCCTTGCATCTCCTTCACAGACTGACTTCCCTCAACTGAGCTCAGAGTAATGCTGTTTGCATCTATCCAAAATCCTGCCAACTGCTCCAGCTCTGAGTGCTTGGCAGCATAAGCTGCAAATGTGCACCATGCGCTCCTCCGAGCTTAGCAACCAAGCAGTTGCGGTGCAACCCTTGGTCAAGTGGCCATCCCAAAATCTCATCTTCAAAGTGCCAGAGAGTCCTTGAAGAGCAGAGACCCCGCAGTGTGAGCATGAAGACCCATTTCATGGCTGCATACCATATCTCTCCCGCGAAACTTAACACAGTCAATCCAATAGCATTGGGGGCTCCATTTATCGTTCTCATCCGTGCAGAGGTAGGGATAAACATAGTAAATGCTGAGATGCTGCGATCCGATGCCATACTGAGAGGGTAAACACGCGAATGATGTCATGTCACTGAAAAGGGATGTTTCCATGTTAGTAACCCCGAATTACACAGAGCAGCGCGTGCCGCTTGCCGCTACAATGTGGAGATTGTCGGAAGCCCACAAGCAACGGTATCTAGAAAATAGGTAATCCAGACTTTCCATCTAAAGCATAGGAACAATATTACCAGCTGAATGTTCAAAATGATGACCAGCCATGATGATATATGGTAGTTTCCCAGAATAGGGGGACCCCAATATAGACCCTAAAATACTATAGTCCTCATTATTGGGACCCCCAAAAAGGTACCCTGAATTTTGGGAACCCCCATATATCACTCTGAAACCTCGGGCTCGGAAGAGACCCCGCCCATTCCCTGGCCTCCTCCTGCGGAAGCAGCTGTGCCTCACAATGTTTTCAGAGGCTTCCCATATTAGGGTTTTTTTCCCATATTAGGGTTTTTCTTCCCATATTAGGGTTTAGGGTTTACGGTTCCCATATCATAGGCCTGTCTTAAAGTAGACACAGAACTCGCTACAAGGCTTCAGCAGTACAATGGTTCGCTGTTATGGCTGATGCAGTGGCTTTTTACAAAACTGGTATGCATAGAATTCAGTGTAATTCAGAATAATCTCAATTCCCAATTTAAGGCAATTTTCAATGCCTTCAGGTACTCTTGAGCAGCGTCCATGATCGGCCTCGGGAGTGGCAGCGAACATATCACCGAAAGACCCCCACTGGGTTACATAGGGGACTACTATAGGGATCGGGGTAATATTGCGGTTTTATATAGGGATAATGGAAAAGAAAGAAAAAGGAAACCCCCAAGAAAGACCCCAAGCTTGTTGCTAGAGGCACCGAGCTTAGGACAGTGGATCCTTTGGCAGGTTCACCCTCGCTAAGTCTGCTAAGTGTTCTGTGCCCTCTGAGCCGAGAGCCCAGTCCGGCAGGATCTAAACATGCCCAACACAGTCGTGGCGAGGCATGTCTGGTATGTTGCGAGACTTCAACATCAGAAGCTTGCTCTTGGCTGTGTCAGGACTCAAAATTTAGATCCAGACTCAGAAACAGGCACGGTACTTTTGGACAACGCAGCCTTGCACGACCGGTCGCGTGTGAAATCGTGAAAACATCTGAAATTCTAACCGTTCTTCAGTTGCATCTCTGCTGCTGACGCTACAGGAAGCAGCAGCCACCTGCACCAACTTTCCGGAGATCACGGACCACAAGGGCACATGCAAATGCAGCGATAAGGAAGGACTGGGGACCTCCGCGCTCAGGCATGTATGATCGAAAAGAGGACTTGCCGTGGCTTTTTCAGATGTTGCGCCAGAGTCTGGGAACTGCGCAGTCGCTCCTGCCCGCCACGCTCTCGGGCGTGGAGCTTGAGGTGCCGACAGGAACACGACGACGAAAGTTGAAGGCCATGACAGCTGAGAGAAACTTACGACTTGCACTTTCAGGGCATCTGCAAACTTCCGTCGTTCTTGTTAGCGCGCAATGGGGTGCTGTACAAACGTTGTAGCGAGGCAGCTGGTTAAAATTTTCCATCTGCAGGAGAGAGAGGGAATAGCAATGCCAACCTGACAAGGAGAGATAAAAACAGAACACATAGAGCTACAAGGACAAAGACAAAAAGTTGAAGTGGAAGCCTCACACCATCTCCTTCCTGCAGTCCCCCCCGCATCCTGTCGGTAGCGTGTGCACATCTGTCGCATAAAGTGGAGGGCTCACTACGCCCTGGAGGGTGGCCCTCCCAGAGTACATCTCACCCCTCAGACTCCGACGTTACGAGGAATTCCAAATCATCCAGTAAGCCAACACCATGGTGCTTGGGGTGCTTCAAGAACTTCCAGAACCCTACCATACTTACCGTCACTCAATCTCGCCAGCATCTTGGTAGATCGGCTCTGAAGCCCAGAGGCCCATGTCCTCTGCGTTGGGTCTGCGTGGCTGTCTCATCAAGTTCACATGATAAAACTCATAATCCCCGGTGCCTCACACACAGAGGATAGATACAAGGCTGCCAGCGCTTGCAATAACTTGACAACTGGACAAACATCTAATTCCTTGCGCATCTGTGCTAGGCAGGAGCGAGCGGCACATGCTTTGCGATTTGACTGAAGGTCACATCGCGGGAGCGCTGAACAAAACATATTGCCAACCTTGGGCCCACGAAGCTCAAACAGTAAGCTCCTTCATCGCTGCATCTTGCTTCTTCTTGTAGGACAGCATCCTTGGTGTCCAGGCAACTAGAATCTAGAAACAGTGGCCTGCAAACACCTCCGGGCCAAATGCTACTCCCAGAAGGGCGTCTTTCTGGTAAGTGCTCTTCACTGCCAACGCCAAAATACATTCCACAGCAATGATGGCTGAGCTCATCTAGAAGCCAATACGTATGCGAGATGCATGTTGATAAGCTGACTACATATTTGATCATCTTTGCTTGTCACTAGCTGGGCAGCCGTTGCCTTGACATCCTTGACCTACAATGCGCCAAATAAATTACATTTCTGCAGAAACAATCATCGCGCGCCTTTTTTCTGTCATTTTGGTATACCAGCTGATCCTACGAACGTGCTTCTGAAGCTGAGTTGCTCTGCGTCCGTGAGGAGACATTCGTCCAGCATCTCGCGGATGGCCGCCTGGCTAGCCCTCTCTGTGCGAAGCCCATGCTTGCCGTTTCTGGCCTCGTCCAACCGCTGGCCAATAAACACAATCTCTTGCCGCCGGTCACCCCACTCCTCATCCCAGTCCTAGCATTCCAGAGGTCAGTCGAATTGAGGCGGCTCAGCGCAGTTGATGCTGCGCAGCCATATGCTGGTGAGCAGGAGGTCTCCTCGCGAAGAGCTCTCTCATACTCGCTTGCGGCCATTTTTTTCATAATGTTGACCTGCGCCAGTGTCAGGCAGGATGGTACATTTGAGCCCTGAACAACAGTCCAACATGTTGATGTGTCTCAAAGCTGTCCGGCTGGCGCTCAACCATATTCAGCCGCCTGATCCTTCGACATGGCACCCCACCAAAGGCCACTGTAGTTCAACTGCATATCTCTTCCTGCCTGCACAGTTTAGACGGCATATGATCCACCCCAAAGCAAGCGTGGGGACGGAGAATGAAGAGCTGTCGGTGGCATCCTGTGATTCTTATGACTGTTGGAGCTTGCAATTCTGGGTAGCGGCCAATAGAAAGAAACAACAAGACTAAACAGGAAACGCTACAATTCTTGCCTTATCAATACAATTTGTTGCAATCTGGCTGCCAAGCGCCAATCACACAGGGGCAAAAATATTGTAGAAAGTTCCAAGTAGCCAGTGTCCAGAAAATTCGAACCACATGCATTACTGTGCTTTCTGGTGGGGGATTGCAACTTCCACATCAGCAATTTATGGCAAATATCTTTGCGAATTGCTTCTTGACTCTGCGTGCGCTGTATTCCATGGACCCTCGAAATTGTTAGATGATGTTGCCGTACAGTGTGCGGGAAGCTAACATGCGTATGCTCCTGCCAAGCGGCATGGCTCCAATAGACGCGAGTGGATGGCTGCGTCTCCAACCAGCAAAAGCCCTTTGAGCGAATCACTCTATTCCTTGGTTTTGCGAGGCATGGTGCATCAGCAATATGAGGCTACCCAATATCGAGGCGGCAACTAGCCACAAGACCAAGCGCAATGATCCAAATGAAAATATCAGCGATAATGAGCTAATGTTGGAGATCGAGCTTCATTGGGTGATTTGTAGTATTATCATCGCCAGCCAGCAACAGCCGCAGATCGGTGTGTTTCGGAATCGGCCACTTCTGCAATGCCTGAATCCAGCTCTCACACTCCAGTACACCTCCCACAAGTGCGGCGAAGACGGTGCAAATTACACCACTGCCGCCGCCCATCACCCGGGCATACTGCCTTCAGCACCATGACCACAACTACTGCCAATACTATCACCACTAGTACCACCGCTACCACGACGAGGCGCATGACGACGACCACCACCACCGCTGCCGCCACCGCCAGTGCCACCCACCCTCCATCTCCGCCTCCACCACCACCACCACCACCACCACCACCACCAGCACCAGTGCCGCCACCGCCACCACCATCCGCTGACAATCACCACCATCACCATCATCATCATCACCTCATCATCATCATCATGAGCAGCAGAGTCATCATCGCTTACGCCGCGCCTCTTCCTGCAGTAATGCTGCATCCCTGTGCTGGTACAACTATGCGATCACTGTTTCACCCCGCCTGTGTGAATCGTGTTTCACTGAGAGGCCGCCGCGCGGTGTATGTGAAAGAGGTAATGCCAAAGCGCTCCTGCATGAACCGGGGCACGAATTCCTACACACGCATTCCACCTATTTCCCAGTGCGCACAACAGCCAACAGTGGGGTTCACGGAGGACCTCGCAGATTACATCAATTCCGAAAGAGTTCGACCTGTGTAGGTGGGGGTAGCATACTCTGCTCATATTTGCATGCATCGAGTCAACTGTTCTCTCCCTTTGGCTGGGAGGATGCTTGCTACAGTTGTCGATGAGGACTTGGTCTGCTCAGCTGTACTTGGCGCACACATCCCTGAGTCTGCTGTGCACAGGCCAAACCATTTGCATGGCAATCTCCTCAGCAGTTGTTGTGCTGTGGCTGTGGGAATGCCCGTGCTCGTGGCCTCATGAAGCCAGGCGCTCACGCATTTTCCGATTTTACCGTGCAGCAGTGCTTCCTGCGCCTGTCGGATGCGCTGGGGGCATGACTGGAGTCTGTGCAGTTTGGATCACCTCAGAGGACGAAGTCATGGGGATGTGGTGGTAATCTCACGTATTTTCTACAACATTCTACAACAAGCAAGTAGGAGAAGAGTGTTGAACTGCTCTGCGCAGCCGTGTGGCTGCAGTCATCTTCGTGGCTGTGGCTGTGACTGTGGCCATGGCTGGCATCAGTGCACTCTGGGTCACTGCAATTGCTGGCATGGCTGTGTGCATGTCCACAATCCTTAGTTGGCGGAGCCAACCCAGCAAGAGACTTTGCTGTGAGCAGAGTTTCCATAATGTTGCATCCCTCGCCTCATGGCTGTGGGCCTCTTCATGGCCATGATCCCCATGTTCCGCTTTGCCTTGGCAGGCATTACGCATTACGCCCTGCAACCTAAACGGCGAATGAAGTCCACTGTCCTTCTGGGGCTATGTCGGACTTAATGAAGAGCATCAGAATGTCAAAAGATGTCAAATGGTCTAGCCTTCGTGGCCGTGTTCTGCGTGGCCATGCTCTTCATGAGCGTGCTCTTCATGAGCGTGCTCGTGTTGATCATGAGCTGTCTCTTCCTTAGCCCAATCTTAGTTCCATCAATCACATGTGCAGGAAAGTCGGGGAGATGAAGGTTGCATCTGGCGTGAAAATGCAACTCTCACTGGAGGCAGCATATAATCCCAGCGTCCTGATGACTCACCGCCTCCAACACCTCACTGAGGGTGACTTTGCCAAACGTTGTCTCAATGATGGCAGCCTCTCAGGCTCAAAAAGTGTCCAAATCACAAGATCGTTCTTGCAGACTTGCGAGCCCGGAGGCCCTGGCCTTTTTGTTGATGGCCTTGACCACTGCCCGAGTTGCATCCAACTGCTCCTTGCCCAAACCAGATTTAGAAGTTGAACGATCCCGCGCATGGCTATGCTGTTTTGACAATCCCGTCTTTCGTCGCCAGGTCAGTTTTGTTCAGGACCACAACGTCGGCAGCCTGTCAGAAAATTTGGACACAATCGAGTACAGCAGCGGCGCAGCGTAGCATTCCTAGTGACACGTCTGCCGAACTTCACGGGCGGATGATTTTGCAGCACGGCAGCGCGGCCTCAGAAAATGCCCTTGAAACAGTCGGCAGTGCCGTAAGAGAAAATCGAACCGCGCTAGCGGCTTCGCCAGTCTTGAAATAGGATTGCAGGCATGCCCCCTCCCGACTGCAAGAAGTACTTCATGCATCTGTACCTACAGCGCTGCCCGCAATACCGCACGGTTGCACTGGCAAGCAACCCTCGGCAAACTTGAAACTCAAAGTCCATGGGGTCGTGCGCTTCTTGCCACACTGCCTGTGTGCCCAGGACTCGAAATGGAACAGTCCTGTGACTTGCTTCCGTCAATTTATTTCTGGCCGCACTTGCTTTGCAACAAGACGTTAGCTAGCCTTTAGTTGCTGAATTGCCAGACGCACCGTCACAGAACCTGCACGGAAGCACCGTGCACTGACTGCTTGTCACACGAACTTTTCTGGCTTGGCCGCACCTTCAGACGAAACTGAGTCCAAAGCTTGGCCAAACCCTTAGCAAGAGAACGGCACGAAGCTTGCCATTTTTCAGGATGCTGCCTAGGACACACCTACACTAGATCTTGCGCAAGCTTCGTGGCTAGAGGAGTGAACCTCTGGAACTGGAACGGGGCATTGCCCTCACAGCACCACATAGCCTCAGAGCGACTCGTGGAGTGAACCTCTGGAACTGGAACTGCGTACTACTTTCCAGATACCACGCAGCCTCAAAGCGACTTCCGCAGCGCGATGACAGCACTAGTCATGGCGACCAGGGCAGAGGCAGCCACTGCTGGCTGCTCTTCAATCCAGCCAAACAGCTTCTGGCTGCGATCCTTTTGAATC